AGGATTGGTAATATATTTTTATCAAGTTTGAACATGAAAATAAGAACTTGATAGAGGTTTAGTTTATATACATTTAGGATATTGAGTTCATTAAAAAGTGTTTGTGTGTGTGTGAAAAACGATCTACGTTTGAAATTATCCTTATAGCCTGTTTTTGCTTGCTAAGCAATGTTCGCATAACTTAAGTAGCAATGAATAAAACAAAAGTAAATGTTTTTTAAACAAGATCGATGTAATAACTGCTTTGCTTTGTACATTATACCTAAATTTTTTGATATTTTATCTTCAACTACACCTGTGTGTTCCCTCCAGGTTACATTTTCGTCTAGAAACACGCCTAAAAACTTTATTGATTGCTCTCTCTTTATTAATTGATTGTCAATAAAAAGGTCTGGGAGTTCTAAGGGAATATCTGATTTTTTATGTAGACGATGGAATAAAGTGTATTTTGTTTTAGTGATATTTAAAGATAACTTGTTTGATTTAAACCATTGGGTTAGTTTGTCTAGTTCTTTGTTTAATGTTTGGAATAATATATTGATATCTTTATTGGAATAAAACAAGCTGGTATCATCTGCAAATAAAATTGTATTTAAAATGTTAGAAAATTTATTTAAATCGTTTATATTAACAAGAAATAGAAGTGGCCCTAAAATTGATCCTTGAGGAACACCACATTTAATTGTCTCATAATTAGTTTTTCCTTCATCATAAACTATATACTGCTTCCTATTGGTCAAATAACTCTCGAACCAGGACAAGTTAGTATTTTTTATAACATAACTTTTGAGTTTCGATAGAAGGATTTGATGATTGACTGTATCGAAAGCTTTACTTAAATCGATAAAAAGACCTAGGGTATACTTGCCTTCATCAAACGATTTAAATATGTCCTGAACAAGGTGAATGATTGCATGATTGGTGGAATGGCCAGATTTGAATCCAAATTGTTTATGGTAAAGAATATTATTTACATTTAAAAAAGAATAAAGCCTATTATACATAACTCGCTCTAATATTTTAGAAAAACAATTAAGAATTGAGATTGGACGATAATTTGCAACTTCAGAAGGATCACCTGATTTTAAAATTGGAATGATTTTTGCAATTTTTAGGTTTTCTGGAAAAACACCATGTTTTAAAGATAAATTAAAAATATGTAATAATGGAATTGTAATGTATTTTATCGATTTAATAACGACATTACTACTTATTGAATCGAAACCTACACTTTTTTTGGGCTTTAACAAAGAGACTGCGTCAAATAATTCATTTTCCGTAAGTTTAAGATTAGCCATAACACTAATGTTGTTTGAGGTTACGTAAGACTTAAAGTGTATTTGAGAAGTTGCTATATTTGATGATAAAATAGGACCTATATTTACAAAAAACTGATGAAGTGTTTCGGCCACTAAGGATTTATTTACAATACAATTGTTATTAACTTTAAGATTTTTCAGAAGTAAATTACCGTATAAACGTTTTTTACCGATTACCTCCTTTATAATTTGCCATGTTTTTTTCGAATCATTTTTGTGTTTAAATAATTGTTCCGAATAGTAATGTTTCTTTGAGCGTTTTAAAACTGATTCATATAGCCGTTTATAGGTTTTGTAAATAGTTTCATTTTGAAGAGTTTTTTTTTTAAGAAACTTGTTATATAAACGTTGTTTTTTTTTTGAGGATTAAAGAATGCCCCTCGTGATCCAAGGGTTTAAAAGTGTTTTTGTTTTGATAACTTTAGTAACTTCCGGGAAGGCTTATTATAATGATTAAGAAATTCAGTTAAAAAGATATCATATGCTTTATCGGCATTTAGATTTAGTTGTAGGGTGTCCCAGTTGACACCAGTAAGAAGTTTATGAAAATTTTTGATGGAAGCGTCGTTTATTAACCGTGTTGTAATTAATTTTTTTCTATCACTTAGAGCATCATAGTCGATGCATTTTTGCGATAGAATAAAAATAGGGAAGTGATCAGAAATGTCAGATTTAAATATACCTGTCTTTATTTTAATATTTACGAAATCATTTGTAATAATTTGATCTAAAGATGTTGCACTTTCTCTAGTTACTCGCGTTGGTATAAAATTTAGGTATAATGTACAAATTACCTGAAATCTAATGTCAATTTTATGTAAAAATTGTTTCAATGACTCAAAATTTTTTTGAATGCTTCTAATATTATTGTGAAGCATTGAAAACGAATTATCTTCCATTTCTTTATCAATATTTTTTGAATTTGGGTTATAGTATATCGGGCTAGTATTTTTAATTACTTGACTATCGTTTAAAAAATTATAATCAGGATCCGAATATTTGTTTAAAATTATTGGCTTTTTCTGTGAATTAAAATTGATATGTTTGATAAAACAATATTATCAGCCAAAATAAAAAATAAATCAATATAAATTAAAAAAAAAAAAAAAAATCCTTTAACATGATTTTTTTTTCTAAATTCTTTAACAACGAGCTTATCATATATAACAACAGAATATTTACCGTTTATCCTATGCGTTTTGCTTTCTCCAAGAAGTTTCTTTCTTATTATAGTAGATTCTAGCGAAAAATCCTCGTTAATATAAATTCCAGAACCTTTTAGTTTGTTGGCGTTTTTTAAAATCTTTACTTTGTCTTTATAATTTACTAACTTAATTACAATTGTTCTATGGTTTTTTATTATCGATAGTACCAGTTCTATGTGCTCTTTCTATGATTACATCTTTTACATTGAGGTTATTTTCAAGAAGGTTTATTATTTTTACTTCCGTATCATCCCAGTTTTCGTTATCATTTTCTTTGACTCCTTCAATTCGAAGATTGTTTCTCCTTTGACGATCTTCTAGTTGTCTAAGTGGTTGGTTGATAAGCAGATTATTCCGTTCAAAGGGAGACATTTAATCAAACAATACAACCCTAAAAAACCACACAAATGGGGGTTTAAAGTTTTTGTTCTGAGTGGTGTCTCTGGCTTCAGCTATAATTTTGAAGTTTACTGTGGAGGAAGTGACAACATTTGCTTTGAGAATGAACCTTGGGGCAAGTAGTAACGTTGTCATGCGCCTAGCCCGAATCCTGCCCGATGACACTAATCATAAATTGCATGTTGACAATTGCCTCAATAGCATTGGTTTAAATGTTTATATGTTCAAGAGGGGAATTCAAATGGTTGGAACTGCACGTAGGAACCGTGTTGGAAATTGCCCAGTCTTGTCAGATAAGGAAATGAAGCAAAGGGATCGCGAGCATTTACAGAACATGTTGCCAAGGTTGACGGAGTTGATGTATCGGTAATTTCCTGGTTTGACAACAAAGTTGTAACTTTGATGTCCAATTTTATTGGAAGTGAACCTTCAATTGAGGTTAGAAGATTTTCAAGAAAAGATATGTGTCATATCAACATTTCCTGTCCGGGAGTAGTCACTATCTACAACAAGCACATGAGGGGAGTCGACTTGCTTGATTCTCTACTTGGCTATTACAGGAACAAAATTCGGTCAAAAAAGTGGTATCACATTTTCAAAAACCGCGTAAAAAAGATGGCCGATGTTTTTGATAACAAAAAGTAAACAAAAAGTAATCAAAATAGAATATTAACTACATACATTAAATAGAGATAGTAATCAAGAAAAATAAATAAATAATAAATATTGAGTACGTAAATCAATATGGTCAACGTTCGAAAAGGAGAATTTGATACGTTCAAAGAAGTGACTAACAAAAAGATTCTAGCACTGGAAGATCTGGTAAAAAAATTACTATCTAAAAATCTTGACTTAGAAAAGCAATTGAAGTTCTTAGAAGATAATCAAGCTCAAATTATTAGCAAAAATAATCAAATTAACAGCAAACCACATTTTAGTAGCTTGTTTCATAACAAATCTCTTGAACCAGAAGAAACAAGAATACTAACCGCGATTTCAGCTGAAAATAAAGAAAAATCTAGAAGAGAATACAATTTGATTCTACACGGTCTTGATGAATTAAATAAATCAACTGAAGAAAATATACAACATGAAAACGAGCAAATAAAAAAGATCTTTAATTACCTGAAGGTCGATGAATCATTTATTAAACGACACCACCGCCTAAAATCAAAAACCGACAAACCTGGTATTGTAATAGTAGAATTAAATAATAAAGAAAAAGTTGCAGACATTTTAAAGTCAGCAAGCAATTTGAAATATAATGTCGAATATAAAAATAAAGTATATATAAATCAGGATTTAACATTTGCACAACGTGAAAGCAGAAAATTGCTTCTAAAAGAAAGAGATCGTTTAAATAATGCTGATAATAACCAGCCCTTTTGGTATATTGTCAAAAATGAGTCAATTGTCAAAGTCAAGAAAAGTGAAAAAACTAAAAATTAATTCATTATCTAGTGTAAATAAAAACAAATCTGACATTATTTTTCCATTCAATAAAAAGTCTAACTATCTTAAGTTTTGGTATACAAATTCTACGTCTTTAGTAAATAAAATAACAGAGTTTGAAACAAAAATTATGATCGACTCACCAGATATCATACTTATTTCTGAAACATGGTTCAAAAATGACTTAATTATAAATATTAGCAACTACAACTGCTTTTACAATAATAGAACAAACAAACAAGGTGGAGGTGTTGCAATTTTTACAAAATATGATATAATTGCTTATGAAGTATCAGTTTCACCTTTATATAAAAAAGTTGAACAAATATGGTGTAGCATTGTACTTCATAAAACAAAAATATTAGTTGGATGTATATACAGACCACCAAACAGTACTGACCTAATAAATAATGCAATTAATGAATTAATAAAAACTGCAAAAAAGGAAGTAATGAATGGAAAATACTCAAATGTAATAATTGTTGGTGATTTTAATTACCCAAATATTATTTGGAATGAAGACGGAACTATCGAGCTAAAGCAAAACTGCCAAACAAGCAGAGCATTTATTAATAACTTGTAAAACAATTATTTACATCAAGTAGTTAATAAGCCAACTTTTCAAATGGCTGTTGATAAACCAGCAAATATATTAGATTTAATAATATGCGACGATCTAGATTTAATAATTAACATTGAATATGATGCTCCACTTGGTCAAATTACTAAAAGCCATTACATATTAGAATGGGAAATTAACATACTCAATTCATATGAGAAAAAATTCAACAATAAGAGATTTAATTTTCGAAACGGAAAGTACAAAGAAATGAATCTCATGTTTTATAAAGTAAATTGGGTTGAAATCTTTGACAAAATGAATACAAATCAATGTTATGAATACTTTTTAAAAATTTATGAAAAAGCTTGCAAACAATATATTCCTCGCCACTTCAAACCCACTAGTTCTATCAAAAATCCATGCATTAATAAAAAAATCAAGAATCTAGTTAGAAAAAAACGTAGTTTATGGTGTAGAGTTCGTGCTACAAACTTCAAGAACACAAACTTAAATAATGAATACAAACTTATCAACAAAACAATTAAAAAACAAATTAAAAAATCTACTTTTGATTATGAAATAAACTTAGCAAAAGATGTAAAACATAATCCAAAACGCTTCTATGCATATGCACAAAGAAAAAACCAGACACATACAAAATTGCTAGCACTTAAAACTAGTGACAACAAAATAATAACTGATAAAAAAGTAATTGCTAATCTACTAAATTGTAGTTTCCAATCAGTATTTGTCAAAGAAAATCAAGATTTACCATATTTCAGCAATAAAACTAGTCATTTATTTGAATGTGACTGGGACCAAGAACTAAAAGAAGACATTATATTTAATTATTTATTAGAACTTAATGAAAACAAGTCACTTGGTTGTGATAACATCAGTCCCTATGTGCTAAAGCATTGTGCAGAAGGATTATCCAAACCTTTGTCTTTAATATTCAAGAAATCGATACATTCAGGAGAGCTGCCAGAATTATGGAAATCTGCAAACATTACACCACTTTTTAAAAAAGGAGACAAGAAAGATCCACTCAACTATAGACCTATCTCCTTAACATCGATACCAAGTAAGATAATAGAGAAAATAATTAGAAAAAAACTGATAATTTATATAACAGAAAACAATCTGTTAACGTCTCAACAACATGGATTTATACAAAATAAAGGGTGCCTAACAAACCTATTAGAAACTTTCAATATTATTACAACTGAAATTGAAAATGGTTATCCAGTTGATATATTGTTCCTAGATTTTGAAAAGGCGTTCGATAAGGTGCCCCACTATCGACTTATACATAAAATTTCTAACTATGGAATTAAAGGCAATATTTTAAATTGGATTGATTCTTTTTTAAAAAACAGAAAACAAAGAGTGGTAATGGGTGAAGTTGTATCAGATTGGTGCGAGGTTTATAGTAGTGTACCACAGGGCTCTGTATTAGGTCCTCTTCTTTTTCTGTTATATATCAATGATCTTCCCCAATGTATCTCTTCAATCGCAAAATTATACGCTGATGATACTAAAATCATATCTGTTATAAAAGAACATAATGATCTAACTAATATGCAAAATGACATTGATTTGTTAGCGGAATGGTCAAATGTATGGTTAATGGACTTTAACATAAATAAATGCAGTGTTATGCACATTGGAAGAAAAAATATTAACTATAACTACACTATAAAGCACGACAATCAAAGTTTTCTTCTAAAAACAACAACAAAAGAACTAGACTTGGGTGTAATAGTTTCATCCAATATGAAATGGAATCATCAGGTTCAAGTAGCTACAAGTAAAGCACTAAGAATCTTATGTTTAATAAGAAAAAGCTTTACTTATCTTAAAATGGTAAGGCAACTATACACATTGTTGGTTAGACCACACTTGGAATTCGCAGCTCCAGTGAAAAAAAACTCGCAGCTCCTGCACGAAAAGCAGGTCGCCCATCACTTGCTGACATCACACAACGTGTTGGTTCAAAAATTGCCATTACCCATGAAGCAATTCGGTCTGATCAAGTTGGGCATTGGCCCATTTTCAATAAAAAGCGGGCTCGTTGCAAATATGGCAAGTGCTTCGCCTTAACACATTTATTTTGTGAAAAGTGTGACACTGCGCTGTGTCTTAATAAAGACCGCAACTGTTTTAAAGCTTTCCATCAATAGATTTTTTATATATAATGATATCTTTACTGAGTATATTTAACTACCAAGGTCATATTCCAAAATAAACTCTCTGTTTAGCAACAAACATTAGTTTATAATTTTTTCATAAAGTTCCACTACTGCATGATGTATCATATATGATACAATTAATTATTTTGCAATAAATTGACCTTAAAAATTGAAATTTTGATTTTTTATTTGGATGTTAGGTCATAGAATGCTTCTAGAATCATTAGTTTAGTTCGATAAAAAAAAGTTATGCAAAAAGGGGTTAAGTTAAACCCCATTTCTGAAAAATTAACATCATATGCTTACTTAAATCTTTTACTTCATAGAAAAACACAGAACCAAATTTAAAGCATTAATGATATGATATGTTCCAGAATACCAGTGTCAAAGTATGTTTCGCTTACACAACTGAAATTTGGACTCTATGATGCTATTGGAACCTTTAATATTAAATTAAAGTCTAGTATCATTATATTTGAAAGACTTAATATGATACCAGGACAGCATACCATTTCTAGATGCAATTATTTGAACCAGAGAAAAATTAGCATGTCAGAGTATAAAAATTAAAACACCATTAAGAAACAAAGGAAGATTTTAAGAGGCCGCAAACATAAAAAATCTGATAAATTTAAACAAAAAGAAGGAAATATGTATTGGGCTGGTGTTCATGATTAAAAACTACTATTAATATGCTCTTTTTATATAACATTTTTTGTATTTTTGTTATTTTTAAATATTTTTTATCAAAATTTTAACTTATTTGTCATTTTTCTCAGAACGCGTGTTTTTAATCTCCCGGCAGAAGTATCTTGAGAACCGCTTGACCGATTTAAATGAAATTTTCAGGAAATATTTCTCTCATAAAGATGTATGCAATGAACAGACAACTTTTTAAAAACGTTTTGTAACTAAAATTAAAGAAAACGTTTATCATTTTTGTGCTTAAAATGTTTGCCAAAATTAAACAGGCCTGACAGAAAAATTGTTTGCAAAAAGTTGTTTGTCTGCTTATTGCATAGATCTATTTTTCTCTTATAAGTTGGAATAAAATCAGCTAAAAATATCATTCTTATTAACTGCAATCTTTGCCAAGGTGAGGAAACTAATTTGACATTTTTCTAAGTTACCATGTTGCTATGGCAACGGAGTACGATTTTATATGAAAAATCTTCTTAACATTTTGTGTACTTTTATTTGGAACATGTAAAATCATGCAAATAACAATATAATAATAACAAAAATGCAAAAAACATGCAAATAACTTTGTTATTGCTTTACTTTAGAAAATAATTTTTTTTCCCCCTTAACTTCAACTGCGTTGAAATATTTGTTTATATGTTTTTTTGCAGAATTGTTTATATTGTTTAGAATGCAGTTATTCTCCTGCGGAGATAATAAGATTTATGAAAGATTTTGGCGTAAATGTAAATAATTATAAGAGAGAAAACTATTATCTATGTACAAGCAAGCCACAAAATAATGAAAAATAAAAAAAACTATGAATCGCGAGTTTTTGATTTTTCTGTACATACAAATACCATAATGCATTGCTTTATGGGGAAAGGTCCATTAGAAAGTATACTAACTTTTCAAAAACCGCTTATCAGTAACGTAGTTAAGATTTTTCAATGTCTTAGATATGTAAAAAAACACGTTCTAAACTCCAATAACGTGCAATTTTTAAAAAGTATGTGCAAACTCCAAAAATTAAGTATGACTATGCTTATGTCAAATGAGAATGTTTTACAAAGTATGTCAAAGCCTGAAAACAAAAATGGGCCAGTTTAATTGAGCATTTTTGTTCCCAGTAGTAGAAAAGTGTCGCATCTGAAGCATCAAACTCCCTGAAAACTGTCGTTGTTGATTACCTTCAACAACGACAGTTTTTACCCATGGGTAGCCGCAACAGAGTTTACTCAAAACTTACACTTTGGAGTCATCTTTTACTTAGTTGCGGCAGAAATATAAATGAAAAGTATTTATAATTAAATAATTATAAGTAATATAATATAATAATAATTATATAATAATATAATTATTATATAATTAATATACAAAAATAATTATACAATAATATAATTAATAAAAAAATTAATAATTGTTGGATTATTAGCAGTAAAACTATGAGTATAAAAAAAGTCTTTGAAAAAAACAATTTTGGGGGTATTTAAAAAATAATTTTGGAGTATTTGAAAAAAACAATTTTGGGGGTATTTAAAAATATATATACTTAAGAAAATAAAATTTTATTAAACTTGATAATAAATTTAAAAAGTATATTATTAACATTAAATTACATGGTAATTAACCGTGGAAATTATTTATCTCTATATATATAATTATTTCTCTCTATATATAATTAAATCTCTCTCTATATATAATCATATATAATTATTTTGTCTGATCTATTTCTATTGCTTATATGACGTCTGACAAAACAAAAAACTTCTCCAAGGCTAAACAGAAATCACGACCCATGCATTTTAGTCCGTCTGTTCCAATATGATGTCCCTGAAAAATATCTATAAATTGAAAACAATTTTTGTTAATTCACTCTATATTATTTAACATTATTTATGGCAAAACTTCTGGACCTCATTTACAATTAACAATTTTGTTCATAAGTTTTCTAAATTTTTCATAACTGACATACAAACAGTAATAAACCAAGAAATATGGATTGCAAAAAATATCAAATGGTGGATCAGCAAGGTTGAACGGTTCCATTATCCGAATTTTCAACAATTAAAATCAGGCAGGCATCTGAGGGAGAATGCTTAGGTTGGACCGGAACAAAATTTTAGAAATAAATTTTTTGCATAGATTCGACAGATGTACTTTAACCTCGGAATTTCTAAGCATTTAATGCTAAAAATGGTGTTATATAATTATGGAGTGTAACCACTACAAAACCTTGGTTTAGTCATCAATTAGTTTACATCATATATTAGTTTACATCATATATCTAGATGTATTCCTCATAAACATCAGATAAACTTACAATATCTTAAAAAATTTGAAACTTGATGGACTTGCTATGAAAAGGGTTTCTTGCGTAAGTTTAAAAACTTAACGTTTGTTGCACACAAAAAAAATGTTGAAAAAATTACATGTATAAAATAAAATACTTTTCAAAAAAATATATTTTTGCAACACTATTTTATTTTTGTGCGATTTGCTAAATTTATTTTATATTGAAATTTGTTGTGCAAGACTTATTAAACATTCAGGCTGAAAATCTTAAAAAATTATGAAAAAAAAAAACTTGGATTCTTAAACTTGATACATGTTAAGTTAAAACAAAAAATTAACTCCAATATTTAAAAAACATTGAAGTAGAGAAAGCAGATTATTTACGAACTCTTTAAACCTACACCTCAAGGAATAAAATAGGTATTAAAAACCTTAAATAAAGTTTAAAATACTAACTAGGGAACACCGGGGCTGGTTGACTTTGTGCGCCAGAAAATTAGTTTATCTAAATTTATTTTTATTTTTTATACTTTTTTCTTTCCTTTTCTTCAATATTCCTTTCTTTTTCCATCTCTCAACTTCAGTAAGCTTCAATCATATCTTAATTTTTTAGAATTGATCTTTTGTAGCATTTTTAAACTTAATTTAATTCAATTAACATCAGATCACATTAAAATGTTTATATTCAATAGCATTAAAATCGTAAAAGTCACCTACCTAAAAATAATAACCCTAAACATCCTAATCTCCTTGACCATCAATATTAATCCATCATAAAATATAAAAAACTGCATTTTATTCACTTTAATATTTGTAAATATGCTGAAGACATTTCACAAAGTACAACATTTAACCAACCCTTATATATAATAGCATTTTAAGTTGGAAACTGCAGAGATCTTGACATAGTCATATGAGTCATGTTGGTCATATAAAAATATACTAAGGTGATCACAGTTATTCATACTTTATTAAGTTCTCTCAGTTCAATTAGAAAAATATTGAAGGTTAAGACTCATAAAGACTATTAGAATAAATTTATACAGGGAAATCTAAAAAAAATCAGAGAAAATATAATAATTTCTTAGAAAGCAGTAGCATAAGCACTTTATACCTGAATCATTACTAACTTAAAAGACGTTTTTAGAAGATTTATATGAACAATATGATCACTCTGCTCTAGCAGAATTCTATTATGATGTATTTAATTAAGAACTAAAAGATAGCAAAAAAATTGATAATAATAACGCATATGTAAACCTTGCTTGCTATTTGATGTTAAAATAAACCTTGGCAAAAACTATAATCAAAAAACATAATAAGGTGAATAGTCAAAAACAATCAAACTTTGGATTCAGTACCTTAATTATATTTGCAACTTATATAAACATTTAGAAGCTACGAGACTAATGCTTGATCTTTTTGTAGCAATATGGCACATTAATTATGCTAGGAGCACACAGTCACAACTTTTAAAAAATGATACTTAACATTGTGTTTTATATATTCTGTCTCCTCAAGTTGACTACACTCTATTGACATGATTGTTTCATACATACACACATACACACACACACACACACGCACACACACACGCACACACGCACACACACACACACGCACACACACATGCATACAAACACACACACACACAAACACACACACAAACACACTTCATTTGTTGGAGGAAAATATTTATGAGACAAACTCTTGCCATTATAACATATTTTTTAAATTATAAATCCTTAATCTATTCAGAGTAAAATTAGTCCAAACTAATCAACTCTATAACATATTTTCATTAACCCATTTTCCAAATTATAAATAAAGTTGAAAAAAGTTTGTTAAAATACACAAGTCCATACAACCAATTTTAGTGTTTAACCTCACTGTTTTGACATCTCCAAAATTATGTTTTTTTTTTTAAATAAATTTCTTTTATTATGTACAATATATATATAATATATATGTTTATATATATATATATATATATATATACATATATATATATATATATATATATATATATATATATATATATATATATATATATATATATATATATATATATATATATATATATATATATATTCATATACATATACATATATATAAACAATTTATTCTTACTTTATATGTACCCTGATCCATACCACAATATGTACTTTCCATTGTATAACTTTTACGAATACCTATCTCACTGTAACAAACCACACGAGCAGTTGATTCTTTGGATTTGTCAACTAAAAAATTACACTGTGATAGAGAAAAACATGGTGTTTCTTGACTCAATATCTTTGGAAGTAACTAAAAGTAAATTTGTTGAAATTTTCAATACCCATATATATAATGTATATGTACCCATATGGGTAATATGTATTCGTATGGGTAAAATGTATATGTATCCATATGGGTATAACATCTATGTATACTATGGACATTATACTCATATTCTATCTGCCTGTAAAAGTGTTTAAATATTTATATTTTTAATATTTCAACACTCATCTTTTACTCATTTTTTAGATGAGTGTTTATATATATATAAACACTCATCTAAAAAATCACTCATTTTTTAGATGAGTGTTTATTGTTGATGATGATGATGATGATGATGATGATGATGATGATGATGATGATGATGATGATGGTGATAATGATGATGATGATATTGATGATGATGATGATGATCATCATCATCATCATCATCATCATCATCATCATATGGATGTGTGGTAATGCAACTAAAATGTTCTGTATCGCAACGCGCTTGTTCGGTAAAACATCTTTTCTTCGTTATTGCAACTTTTTTGTTCGCTATTGCAACTCCGCGTTCAGTTTTGTAACTTGAATAATTTTGTTTTTTTTATTAAGTTGTTACGTTGTCAGCCAGCTCAAGATAATTTTCGTTCAAAGTTAATTGGGCAGACAAAAATTTGTTTGGTGAGTGAAGTAAAATATTGATATTAAAACAAAATTGTATTTTTGAGAAGTAAATTTATGGAAATCTAATATATATCAGTAGCCTATATAATTACACATGTGTTTAAAGTTTTAAAATTCTTTTATTTAATTTTTATTTACAAAATTTACACGAAAAAAGCAATTAACTAAAAAGTGTGTAGATATTTTTGAGTACAATAATTTTGAAGTTTATCCAACTTTACAAATCAATTTGTGATATACCTAAAAGGTATAAGCTGGCTTGAATCAAAGTGATTTATATTGATTTCTACTCAACAATTGAGTAAAAGTTTATTTAAACCACTCTGATACTAGATAGCTAGAATCTAAGTTGTGTAAGTAAACTTCTACTTAAAATTTCACCTAAAACATTACAAATTTAACCAGCTTACAATAATGTTATTAATAATATACTAAATGCTTATGATAATATTATTAATAATATTTTATATGCTTAAATAATGTTACTAATAATATACAATGTGCTTATAATAATATTGTAAATAATAGAGTAGTTTAAGTCACTTTTAAGTTGGCATAAAAGTTATAATTTTTATTTCTTAAGTATAGGATTGTTTAGTATTTGTTTACAATATTAAAAGATTTTATTCATAAAGATTATTTTTAGATTAGATTTTGTCCTTTTTACTCAAGACAAAATTTAATCTAGAGATGGCTATTTTAAAGAACTCTATTGACAAAGTTTAGATGCGGAACTTGTTATTTGCAAGTAATTTTAAATAAGAATTTAGTTATTTTCTTTTTTTTATTTACGAATATAGTGTTAAAATTATAGATAGTATATTTTTAAACAGTAATATTATAATTTTAAAGATTTTAATTTATATTTACAACAGCTATGTTGTCTTCTTCTTAAATATAAAGATTTAGTTTAAAAAAATTAAATTTTTCTCTTGTATTATTATGTGTATTTTTTATGTGTATTCTCTTGAATTATTATGTGTATTTAAGTAATATATCTGGCGAAAACTTTTAATCATACTCTATCATTATTATCTTTTGTTTCTTTAAAAGGTAATGATGCTTAATTTACAATTAAAAGACATTAAATAGTTTTACCATATTTCTATAGTTTAGTTTAAATGTTATTATTTTATTTGGTAAGTTTAATCAAAACTATCTATTAAAGTTAGTTTAAAAATTATTAAAGTTTCTCAAATATCTTCCTGACCACTGAATTAATTTCAAACAAATGTGCAGCTCAGTTAAGTTTCGAATGTTAATGCAACTTTATTTTTTTCTTTATAATATAATTTCAAGAGTAACTTTCAAAACCTAATGAAGAATATAAATGTCGTTATTCTTATAATATATTTCATATCTTTTTCAAAGTTGTTTTCACAAGTGTTTAAACATTCAATTAGGGATTGTCTATATATTTTACAATGCAAAGTTTATTTTAAAAAAAGAAGTTGATAATATTTAATTCTTTTACATGACAAAACTTTTAGAAAAAAACTTTTGATCTCTTATGTTTTGTTTATTAGTGAAATTTAGCGTTGCTTAATTTATGGACAATCCCTATTCAATTCCACTTTTAAATCAAAGAAATTCACTAATACTTTAATTTTTGCTTTTTCTATTCTTTAATTTTAGAAATTCATGGAAAACCCGATTATTTTACCTAGCTTTTAAATTATTAATTAGTTTTTAGACTTGTCCTAATAGTTAAAATTACGATACTTACAGCAACTATAATTTTATTGTAGTGAAAATTTTGTTATCGCACAATCAAACAAAATGTACTATGCAAAATTTAAAAAAAAGACTTGAAATAAAGAGATAATTGAGTTTTTTATCCTGGGGAAAATAAAAAACTAAATTGTGCTCTTTAAAGTACTTTCAAATGTTCTGTGATTGTTATAGAGTTCAAATTTTTAAAGTTACTTATAAATTTATTTGTTTTTAGGGGGAAAAGATAGATGTTTTTAAGCTTCTTCAAATTTTTGCTGGGAAGATTGTTTAAAACAACAATTTGCTGTGTGTATTTTTTTCATAAAGTCAAAATTAGTTTAAAAATACTTGAAAAATTTATTACTTTGATTTAAAGAAAGATGTCAGAAGATTGTTGTAAAGGTTTTATATTAAAATAATCAAAAATAGTGTTATTTGTGTATTCAAAATGAGCGCATTTGTTAACTATAAACGTTGTATTAAAAGCTTTATTTATTTATTTAAAATTTATTTACATAAACGTTCAATATATAGTTTTATATTCTGTAATAAAAAAGTACTATAACACGCCTCTGAGACTTTGAATAATTTCCGTTCAATTAAATTTGGTTTTAACTGTAGGTAGAGGTAATGCAACACCTCACAGTTAAAACCAAATTTCCGAAAAATTTTTTTCGTTTTCAAAAGCAAAGTTTATACTTTTTAAACATTCGATTTAGTAAACATTATATCCAGCAGAAAAAATTTTCTTAAAAACATGTATAAAAAAATTTTGTTAAACGTTTTTTTTTGAAAACCCAAGTACGAGATTTGTTAACTAATATATTATATAAAGTTGAACTCAGAAACTTAAAAACGCCACAATGATATGAAAAATGTCAAAATTTAGAAATGTGGATTTATTTAGTTTATAGCTTGATTTGAAGAAAATGAATAAAAAAAACATACTCGAATGTCATTTTTATGATCCCCATGCATAAACCCTCTTTTTCGATGCATTCGGTAATGCAACGCATTTTTTAGAACGGCTCTTATATTTAAAGTTTTTGCTCAAAATTTTTTTTCAAAAATAACATATCTAAAAAGTTTAGATCTTTCTTAATGGTAATACTGAAAAAAAAATTAAAAAATACTGAGCGGCACGGCAATAATCTAAAATCCTGTGAGCCGATGACCTTGTTGCAATAACGAACAGAGAACTATATACTGATGATGATGATGATGACGATGATGAGCGATAAATTGTTTAAAATAATAGAAAAATAGTTGATATTTTGTTCTTTTAGACCTAATACTAAATTAACATAAATGAGCAATATTTTAAAAACTTACTTCAATATCATGGCACATTGAATTTGAACATTTATTGTTAAGTTGAAGTGAACTGAGTGATTCTGATAAATTCACATCACGACAACCATACATAAATAAATTTTTTTTCCTCGAGTGACCATGGAAATCTACAAAAATCTAAAATAAAAAACAAAGTGACATTTAATAATTAAGTTTATCTTAAGCTGGCACCAGCAAGTGTAATACTGCACATTAAGGTCTAGATAATAGTTAAAATAGTTTGCATACCAGAATATTTTTATTTATTCATTCACAAGCATCAAATATTTTTTATGAAAAAATGAAAATAGTCTTTTTGTGTTAACAGCTTTTTCAGCTAAAGCAGTTCAGAATGGTGCTGTTTTATTTGTTAAAAATTTATCTTCATAAACTCCATTATCTCTATTAACTCCATTATCTCAGTAAACTCCATTATTATCAAATTTCTGTCTGTGACCTTTTTTGAACAATAGTGGTAGTTTTTTATAATTAGTTTTTTACTTTAAAAAAAAATTTTTTTTAATATTTTGAAAGATCTCCTGTTAGCCTTCAAGTCTCTAAAAATATCAATTCAAGTTTTTTAGGCAATCTAGCCAAAGCCTTAAAGACGAAAATTTTGTTTTCCTTAAAACTTTGGTCATTATTTTGAGTTCACTTAAGTTTTTATTTTATGAGACTTAGTTTTAAGATTATCTTAAATGTCATGATCTTAAATTTTAAATTTTGATTCTTGGTTTTAAAATTAATGATTTAGCTTGATTGTCATCAAGACTTAATTTAAACTTTCTCTTTTTTCCAATGTATGTCTAATGCATTAAAAGTTTAAACTACATAAACTGTTACTTTTTTTTTAGATTTGCTATATAACAAATGTAAAACACAAACAAAGGTAAAATATTTAACCACATAAAGGAAAGCATACTGCCATATTTACATATTGAACTAGACAAAAACATAAACAGCATGATGTGGTCATAGTCATTATTACTAAAAAATATTTATAGTTGTTGTTCTGCATAAAACATTTCTTTTATGTTTTGTTATAATAAATGATATAAACAACAACTTCGTAGTTAAAAAAAATGTTCAAAAAAGCTCGTAATAAAAAGACAAAAGTTATTGTTTTTTTAATTTTGGTTTCAGTTTCTTGCATTTTATGTTTAATATTATTAAATCAGATTAATTATTTTTTAAAACTTCTTTTTGTTTTGTTATTATTAAAAAACTATTTTTGCGTAGCTATATATAGATTTTGAATAGAATTTTTAAGTAACAAGGTAACTAAGTAATTTGAAGTAACTAAACTAGAATCATACGTTGATTAAACTTGTATTATACTTAAAAACTCATTTTTTTATTAATTGTATCATACATTGTTTAAAAAAAAAATATTTTTGTGAACTTTATAATCATATTGAATGAGATATTCCTTTTTATATAGGAAAGAAAAAAAAATGCATCATACATTCTAATGGAATCTAGTGATAAAACACATTATGCTAGTATAAATATATATTTAAAATAACTGCATAAGTAAGCAATACTTATTTTGGTATTATAAATTTATTTAAAAATATATTTACTAAACCATTTTGTAATCTTGAAAGTATTTATTGGAGGTGATCTTAGTAAACCCAATTTTGTTGTAAATATTGTAATGTAAATGTAATGTAAAGTTTTGTTGTAAATATTGTAAAATCAGTAATAGATTGGGGTTTACAGTGGCTTGTGAATTTCAACTCTAAAAAAACCCAATTGCTTACTGCAAACAACTACCGTAATATGGTCAACATTCCTATATTAATGAATGGCAATCCTCTTACTGAGTCGTCCTCTTTACGTCTTCTTGGATTATCGCTTACTACTGACCTTTCATGGAAACCATATATACAATCGATTGCTAAATTAGCTTCTGCTAAGGTTGCTTCTCTTTATCGTGCTCGCCATTTCCTTACTTCTGATTCCATTCTCTACCTCTACAAATCTCTTATTCGTCCCTGTATGAAATACTGTTGTCATATTTGGGCTGGTTCTTCTAACGATTCACTCTCTCTTCTTGACAAGGTCCAAAAACGCATTGTAAATGTTGTTGGACCTGGACTATCTGCTAAGCTTGAACCTCTTTCCCATCGTCGTAAAGTTGCATCTCTTTCTCTTTTCTACAGATACTATCATGGTCACTGCTCAAAGGAGTTATCATCTCTAGTTCCATCAACTAAAATTCATTCTCGTTTTACTCGTCATTCAGCTAAGTCTCATTCGTTTTCTGTATCTGTCCCTGCATGCTCTAAAAACTTTTATTCATCTAGTTTTTTTCCCCGCACTTCAATCCTTTGGAACTCTCTCCCATCTTCATGTTTTCCTGACTCATACAACCTTCAACTTTTTAAGTCTTCTGTCAACCGTTTCTTTTCTCTATAACTCTGTTCTTTTTTTTTCCTAGTAACTCCCAACTTAATAGTGGTTGCTTGCAGCCTTGTTGGGAGTGAATGCAAATAAAAAAAAAAAAAAAAAATGCAAAATCTGCAACTTTTTTTTACCTAACTTTCATAAAAAATCTCACTTGTTGAATAACAACATGTATTACTCATTGTACATACTGTAAATTATGTTTTACAAAAATTATGTTTTACTAAAACTATATTTAATACAATTATGTTTACTAAAATTATGGTTAAAACTAATTTAACTTTTATCTTTTATTTAATGATGTCATGGTATTCATAATCAACTACTATTATTTTAATACTATAAAATAAAAACAAAAAGGAAAGGAAACAATTTCACAAAAACATTTAAAAATCATAAAATAAAACAGGATAAAATGAAATTGATGAACTAAAAAAATAATTGCAACGTTTATTTTTTGGCTTTAAATAATTAATGAATAAACATTTTGAAAATATGCTTTTAATCTTTTTGTAGAGAATCTTTTTCTGAATAAGGCAGTAAAAAAAATATATATATATATATATATATATATATATATATATATATATATATATATATATATATATATATATATATATATATATATATATATACATATATATATATATAAATATATATATATATATATATACACATATATATATATATACACATATATATATATATATATATATATATATATATATATATATATATATATATATATATATATATATATATATATATATATATATATATATATATAAATAGCTCAGATAAAGTTTTTACATGCACACAAATAGTCAGTGAATGGTTTGTTTCCACATGTCATCAGTTAAAATTAGTTTAAAATAACACCATATCAATCTGTCACCAATCTCAATCAATCTCAAATTTTAACATCCCAACCACCAGAATATATGCAAGTGCACGACCAGCACCAATTACTATTTCAGGTACACCTTTTTGAATCATCAACAGCACCAAAAATATCCGTTATCATCATATCGTGGCTGCAAAATAAGACTCTTAATTATTTATTTAGGACATATTTGAATTTTACTCATAGTTGCAATTTTACTCATATTTGAGTTTCGTACTTTGTGAGATGACTTTTGTGCACCTAGAATTTTAAACAAAAAAAGTCAAATTTGCCAAAAATGGACTTAAGATTTGCTTTGCAGCAACAATATGATATATAGCATTAGCTAGAAAGTTAAATCTAAAGTTAACTTGCCTACTAATAATATAGTAAAAAAATTTGAATTAGCCCAACTGCTTCCAACAGCATTTCAAAAAATCTTTTTATCTAACATATTGACACAAAAAAATTGTAAACCAAGTCAAGTGTAAAAAGTGCTGTTTTAAACAAAGTCAAAAAAAAAAGTACTAGTGTAAAAATTAAAAATGCAAGGTTGGGTTTGTTGAAGATGCATACCAAAGGAAAATATAAACCAAATTTTATTGAAAAAAAAAGTGTTGCACAAGTAACAACTTGACTCTTCAGAACACTAAGAACTCAACATTAACACATAAGTTGAAAAAAAAAAAAAAAAAAATTTATATATATATATATATATATATATATATATATATATATATATATATATATATATATATATATATATATATATATATATATATATATATATATATATATATATAAATAAATACATAATATAACTGTTTCTTTTATCTAATTAAGTGCTCCTTTTTTTTGATTTTATATATATTTGCAAACAGCTAAAGATTCTCTAAAACATTTCGAAAAAAAATCTTCTTAATGTTTTTCTGTATAACAAACAATTTCATTTGACCCTATCTTACTTTATGTCATGAAAACAATTAACCTCTGGTTTTTTATCATTAGAAGCGAGATACTTTAAAAACAATTTAGTGTGATAGATGGTTGGATGTAAGACAGCATCTGGCTGCTTCCACATACGATTTAAGTCTTGGCCAGATAAAGAACATCTATGACTAATATATACATGTGTGTGAGTATATATTTATATATACATACATACATATATATATATATATATATATATATATATATATATATATATATATATATATATATATATATATATATATATATATATATATATATATATATATATATATATATATATATCAGGGCCGGATTTACCTATAGGCGGACTTGGCCACGGCCTAGGGCCCCCAACATTTGGGGCCCCAAAATTTAATAAACATAAAAAGTTGAAAACTAAAAATAATGTGTAGAAAAATCAAAAATGTTGTAAAATTTATTTTTCATTAAATTCTCAATATTCACACTGTTTTGTTTAAATAATAAAATTTTAAATAAAAAAATGAAAATTTTTTTTCCCCAAAATTAAACTATTTTAGGGGCTTCAAAAATGTTTTGGTCTAGAGCCCCCAAAATGCTAAATCCGGCCCTGAAATATATATATATATATATATATATATATATATATATATATATATATATATATATATATATATATATATATATATATATATATATATATATATATATATATATATATATATATATATATATATATATATATACATATATATATATATATATATATATATATATATATATATATATATATATATGAAGAGTTTATTTTCAAAACGCGGTAAACGCCATTTTAAAAATTTTTTAGAAATTGTGTGGTTTATTTTTAGTTTATAAAGACCTAGCAGACATTGTGTCCGAATATATGCTAAACGAAGTATAACCCAATATTTTTTTACTTCTAAAAAACATTTATTTTCAAAACGCGGTTTAAAATTTTTTATTTATTTTCAAAATGCGGTATTTAATTTTGACCAATCCGTGGCAAATGTATATTACTTCTGCGCAAGCGCAAATATTTTAAAGTTGTGTTAAAGAAATGGCGGATTGCGATGGACAAGATTAATGCGTTACCTAATATTTATTTATTATATAATACCTATTTCACATAGAAAAAAAGATATGATGTATGAAACAAAAGAAAAGAAAAGCATTTCTTAATTCTAGTGTTCGTTTAAACTACCATTTTTTTGTTTAACTGAACAAATTATGGAATAATGATAGAAAATATATTAAAAAGGCAACTTAAATTAATAAGTTTAAATATATTTGTTACCTGTTTTTTAATGGAAAACATTCAATAATAATACTTCCTTTTTATTTTTTTTAAACCGACAATTGCTTTGTTGCAAATAAAATGAGGCTATTGCAGTATTTCATTTTTAAAATTTTATTTCGTTCAAAAATATAACGATGACTTTTATGTTATATTAATTGTCCATTAGTTCTATGGAGACTTAAAAATAATGATCATCATTGTTACAACTACACAACACTAAAAAAATATTATTGTTTATTGTCCATATTTAACTCTCCGAAACAAATATAAATTTACAATTGCGAATTGTGAAATGTAATAGTTTACATTACTTTAATAAAACATTGTTTACATTCACATTATCAATAAAATATAATGACCAAACATTAAATACACATATTTGTTCAATATGTTAACTAAAATTAATCATTAAAACTTATTCAGGTCTTTTAAAGTTTAAAAACTTTCCATAACATCTTTATAAAATGGATACACCGCATTTTGCTAACAAGCTTTAATTGGATATACAGTATTTTGAAAATAAATGCAAACTTATTGACAAAAAAAAAAAAAAAAAATTATTTAATAATATTTTATTTATTAACATTATATAATATACTTAATGTATATATACATTAAGAAACAATAATTTTTCCAAATATACGAGACATGTTGGTATGGCGAAAAAAGTCAATTATCTCAATACCACAAAAATGGATATACCGCATTTTGAAAATACACTCTTCATATATATATATATATATATATATATATATATATATATATATATATATAAGTAAAAAGTTCCAGGTAACAAAAGAAAAACTATTTAAACTAAGATGAGTAAAATATATTTATTAGTTATATATTTATTACTTTTAACAAATATTTTAAATTTTTCTCTAACACAGAAGAGAATATGCATATATATGTATACATATATATACATATATATGTATACATATATATACATATATATGTATACATATATATATATATATATATATATATATATATATATATATATATATATATATATATATATATATATATATATATATATATATATATATATATATATATATATATATATATATATGTATATATACATAAGCATGTATAAATATAAAACATACATATATATGTATATATACATATATCTATATAAATATATATATCTGTGACCATTGCACAGTGGGGTATTTGATTGATTTAGGCAGCCAAAACTCAACTTTTCAGAACTTCCAAAATAAATTAAAAAAGTTATTTTAGCAATGCTGAATGGTTAGTGAATATTAAAAATGTTGAGTGTAACCGCAAATGGTTTTAACAACAAGCGGTAGGATTTACACAAAGTTGGTCATTAATTATTGTCTACGCGCTTTCTTTTGGTCGCTTATTTTTTAAGTATTTATCAGCATCAAATAAATTTTAATCAAAATATATTTCAAAGTGTTTTGTGATGAACTCTAATGAAGTTGGTAAAGGTAAATACAGAAAAAAGTTTTAATTAGTTTATTTGTTATTATATATAAGTCTGTTGGTTTTGTGAAAACTCTTTTCTTTATCTTGTTTTTTGCAATTTTCACTGCAAACTATAAATTCTCTATATATATAAATTCTATAAATTCTATAAATTCTCTCTATATATAAACTCTATAAATTCTCTATATATGCTCTTATTTTATTAACAGATAGACTAAAGTTTTGACTTCAACGATATGTAAAAAATTACCTGCCATTTTTTGCCATTTTGTTCTCCGTATTTGTTTATTCACTCTTCCTGTTCTTAAGTGATTGATAGGAAAAGACCAGGGGGTTTTTTATTTCTGTATAAATTTTTTTTCTCTTTTTTCTTTTTTTCTCTGTGTACTTTAAAGAAATTATTACTTTTTTTTTAAATAAAGGTTTACGATTAGTATTATATATTTTATCGAAACTATAAAATAATGTATTTATTAAAAAAAAAAAAAAAAATTCATGTTCAGGTATATTTTAATTTTAAACGGAGTTTATCTTAGGTTCTTTAGATGTCAGGGAAACAACCCGAAGAATGTTTTTTGATCTAATGCAGAGCCAAATTTTATCAAACATGAATGAGAAATTAATATTTTTAGAACATTACGTATTAGCAAAAGATAATTACTCAGACAAACAAATAAAAGAAGTAAAACAGTTTATTGCAGTTTAGTTACAAGTTAAAACAAAGATGGTCAATAGCAAAGAGGGATAAAAATTTGTTTTTAATAAAAAACAGTGATTGGCTAGATGGGAATATTGCAATAACTGCAATACTGAATCAAGGGGATAACAAAGAACTTTAAAGAATTAAGTGAGAGAAACAAAAGAAGAAAAACAGAAAAAATACGTGCTACCACAAATTCAGAAACTTTGATTTGTGCTGCTCAGGTGAAATTAGGTGTTACAGAAAAAAGAACTGCTTCAAAAATTTTAAAGGACATTATCCACTCCCCAAATCGGGCAAAAATGTATAAGATAGCATACTCTAGCGTTTTACAGGAAAAAAATCACAGCTATTGGTATTAAGTGTGTTTGTAGAAGCTGGTCTTTCCAGAAAACAATATGAAATTGTTAGAAGTTCTTGTAAAACATTATATCCTTGCTATAGTATCCTGCAAAAGGAAAAACTAGATTGTTATTCAAATAAGGAATCTTATTATGTCAATGAAACTTGTATCGCAGTCAATTTACAAGATTTATTGAACCATACCATTACACGATTGGTCATGTATTTAGGAGAAGTGGTACAAAATTGAAACAAAAAATAAAGAAGTTCATTAATATTAAACTGTAAATGGGGATGTGACAGATCACAGCAAAATCAATATAAACAGAAATTTCAGAATGACGCCGATTCTGATGCAAGTATATTTCAGAGCTCTTTTGTACTGCTTTAATTAACTTGTACTAAAAACAACAGACTGATCAGGTAAAATCCAACTCCTTCTTTGCCCCGATATTGTCGTCCTATAAGAATTAGATTTGTCAAAAAATCTAATGATATAACAAATAAAGAGATAAAACTTATTGAAAATTCAATTATCTCTTTGCATGATACAAAATTGGCAGTGTGTGGGAATTTATTTTGAGTTAAACATAATATGATGCTCACTATGGTTAATGCTAAGGTGTGTAATGCAGCCACTAAAACCACGCAGCCACGCAGCCACTAAAACAGCTTCAACTATGAGAGCTATATTTGTGGTGCAACATCAAAAGATTTTAATAACTTGACTATTGAAAAATATGTCAAACCAGATACACTGAAGTTTAGATTATCAAATTTGCATGTCAGGATCCAAATATTTTAAAATTTATTACATCTATCTTATAAATTGCCTATTAAAAAATGACAAGCGAGATCAGAAAATGAAAAATTAATTGTCAAACAAAAAAAAAACTAGAAATAAAATCAAATTTTAGAAAAAAAATATGTTTAATTGTAGACGTCCTTAAGCCTGAATTTGGTAACTCAAATGATGGCAACACTAGCCGACGATTTTTTGCAGACCCAGAGTTGGCAGCTGAAATATTGTGTATAGATTATAACCTAATATATCTTCTTAAAGTAATATTAGAAACAATATCTTGTGAACATATAATAGATATTGAAAAATTTAGAAGATATACTGTAAAAACTGCGGAATTATATGTCCAGCTATACCAGTGGTATCCGATGACCCCTACAATGCATAAAATCCTTATTCATGGTTTTATTGTAATAGAGCATGCTTTGGTTCCTATTGGTCAGCTATCTGAAGAAGCAGCTGAATCACGAAATAAATGTTTCCGTTCTTACCATCAAAACAATGCTAGAAAATTTTCCAGAGAGTCTTACAACCTCGACGT